GAGCCCTAGTGCTAATTCCCCCTGAACTGTGCCCCTCCAGAGACCTTGTAGCAAGGGGGCGTGGCCTCCCTCCCAGATGGACAGAGGGACAGCTGCAACTGCCCTGCATAACCACAGGAGTGTATAAATTGTCACATTAATGACCCCCACAGGTGTATTCTGACATCAGAATGTTTCAAGCACACAGGAGCAGCTTTAGCCTGAGTTCTAGAAGGATGCTTCAAGCTGAGCTTTTGCCATTTCCTCTACTGAACACACCAGAGCTCTCAACATTTTTAGTAGCTTTTCTAAGCTTGATCAAAAGAACCTACCGTGCAACTCTGATGTATTTTCTCTGACAGAGTATTAGTCACACCATCAGATTACAGGAAATCCTGGAAGCACAGTGGCAGAGTCTGTACTACATTCCAAGCAGGGCCAGCTCCAGGGATTTTGCGGCCCCAAGCGGCGGAAAAAAAAAAAAAGACCACGATCGTGATCAGCTGATTGGCGGCACTTCGGCGGCAGCTCCACCTCAGCGCTTTCTTCTTCAGCGGCAGGTCCTTCCCTCCGAAAAGACCTAGGGACCCGCCGCTGAATTGCCGCAGAAGAGCTCGATGTGCCGCCCTTTCCCCTTAGCCGCCCCAAGCATCTGCTTGCTGAGCTGGTGCCTGGAGCCGGCCCTGATTCCAAGGTAAACTACAAACCTCAGCCCGGCAGAATGCTAATGGCTACATACAATAGCCTCAGGGTTGATCCAGCTTGTGCCAGTAAGTTCAATTTACCATGCAGTGGAACAGGGTCAAAGGGAGTCCAGTTGTCCACTTTATGATACCACACACACTCTTTGTGCTGGTGTGACCAGAAGGGCCCCATCCCATTACCAGTCAGTACTGGCTGTGCACTGTGGTGGCTGATGAGTGCGGGCAGGCACCCGGCGGTGGCTGGTTATGTGTTGCCTCTGCTGCCCACCCAGCAGCCCTTTACATGCTCCCCCCTCACTGTCCTCTCCCTGCTTTGCCCCTTCGCCCCTATCCCCCGCTCTGCAGGGCGCGCCCTGCTCTCAGTGCTGTGCAGAGAACCAGCCCTGCCCCTGGTCCAGCAGGCTCCTTCCTTCCCCCACTGCCTCTGGCTGGGCCAGGACCCTGGGAAAGCCCAAGACCCTCTGGGCCGGGTTACCGGCCACAGTGGCCAGGAGGCACCGAGCCCTGCGTGTGCCAGAGCGTGCTGGTATGGGGAAGCCTCTCCACCCCTCACCTATGCTCTGGAGTGGTGGTGAGGGGGAAGCAAGCTCCAGCTTGTTCGTGCCCTGACCCTGCAGGCTCCACAGCAGCCCCCAGGCAGGGGCTTAGCACCCTCTTCACCCTGCCCTTCCCCCACCCCCACCCCCCAGCCCTGGGTTCTGCCCCCAGGGAGCACGGGACTGCTCTGTCCCCTAGTCACCCTCCCCTGCTGAGCCCCCTCCGTCTGGGTTTGCTGATAGTCCTGCAGTCAGGTTCCCTGAGCCCTGGTGCACAATGCATCCTTAGGCTTAACCCCTTCCTGCACGCTCCGTAGCCCAGGGACTGGAGGCGTCTGGGTTATGTTGATGGTCAGCAGCAGCCTGGAGGCGGCAGCTGCCTTTCGACACCGTGCAGGCAGGAAGGGACAAACTGCGTCCAGCCACCAGGGAGCCAGGGGAGAGATGAGCTCTGCAAAGACACAGGCCAGGTCATCCCTTCCCTGCCTCCTCATCCCCTGCAGCTGGAAGCAGCTCCCGTCCCTTCCCTCATATACAGTGCTGAAAGGCTGCTGTTGGCCACATTCTGGTATGAACCCTGACAGAAAGCTGGGGAGTGGGGCATGTGACCACGCCTGCCCTCCACCGATGTGTTGCCTTGGGAAGACAAGGCACCAGGTACCAGGAGAGGCGGGTCTATCCTTGGGGGCCAGCCAGGGCTGGAGGGGCGAGAGGCAAGGGCATGTCGAG